TTGGGAAGAATTTCTTTGCAGAGAGGGTGCTCAGCCATTGGAATGGGCTGCCCAGGGAAGGGGTGGATTCCATCCCTGGAGGTGTTTAAGGACAGACTGGATGTGGCATCAGTGCCATGGGCTGGGAACCACGGCGGGGTTGGATCAAGGGTTGGACTGGATGATCTCGGAGGTCCCTTCCAACCCAGCTGATTCCATGATTCCATGATTCCATGATTCCATGATTCTATGATTCCATGATTCCATGATCCTATGATTCCATGATTCCATGATTCTCTGATTCTCTGATTCTGTCCTCCAGCGCAGCTCCCCTGGAATGTTGCAGTGGTCTCATCACTCCCAGCTCCCAGGAGGACCAAGTTGTTTCTTTCCTATTTTACCTTTTTTTTTTTTTTTTTAAATTTTATTGTTTTACACACACTGTTGATGAGAGAAATTAGGGATAAAAATCCTAATTAACGTGGCCACGGGGATATTTGGTTTAATCCCACACCCCTCTTTTTGTGGATTTTTGAGTGTGCTCTTAATTTACTTCAATTAGGAAACAAAATATTTTAGTTTCGCCAAAGTGGGAATAAATTCAAAGCCCTCATTTCAGCCCAAACAATCTCAATATTTATGGTGGAAAATCAGGTTTAACATTTGCTCTGTTGCTGATAGCATTTTTTTTTGGGGGGGGCTGTTTCTCAGCTCCTCCAGCCTGAGAAATATTGGATTTGATTATTACGAAGACATAAAATAATGAAAAGCATGAAAATAATGAAAATGTGCTAAAATCCAAAAAAGAACAAGCCTCTTCATTATTTTCCAAGTCAAGGGGTTTTAATATTTATTGAAGAACAAAAATATATCACATAAATATATACATATATAAATATAAATAACTCTTACCATCACAGAGAGCATAAAATTGACTCTTTTAAGAAAGGCAGAAAAGTGATTTGCGAAATTTTTTAAAAATAAAATATAACAATTATGATTTTATCGGGTAGAATGTTTTAATTTTATATATGAATATATAAAGTTGTACTTTCTATATACTATATTATATATATACACTATAATACATGTATATTATATATATATATATACACTATATGAATATTTGAATATTTGAATATATGAACATTTCTCCATTGCATTTTGTCTCACGGGATGTTTCTCCTACTGCTTTATGTGGTTTGATGGAGGGGAAACCATTAAATTTGTTTAAAATAAAATATAACAATTATTATTTTATGGAGGAGAATTTTCGAATTTTCTAGATACTATGTGAATATATTTTTATATTGTAATTTATATAGATTATATTTAGATGAGATAGCATCTAGAATATAAAAATATATTTATATAAAAATATAATATATACCTTTTAAACCATGAAATTTTCTAAAACTAAAATATAACAATTATGATTTTATAGAGTAGAATTTTCTAATTTTCTATATGAATATATAAAGTTGTACTTTCTATATACTATAGGAACGTAAATACACTATAAGAATATATAAAATGGAGAGAATTGAACATTCCTCCATTGCATTTTCTCTCACAGGATGTTTCTTCTGCTGCTTTGTGTGGTTTGATGGAGGAGAAACCATGAAATTTTTTAAAAATAAAATATAACAATTATGATTTTATAGGGTAGAATTTTTTAATTTTATATATGAATATATTAGGTTTTACTTTCTATATACTATATTTATATATACACTATAATACATGTATATTATATATATATACTATATGAACATTTGAATATTTTAATATATATGAACATTCCTTCATTACATTTTGTCTCACAGGATGTTTCTTCTGCTGCTTTATTGTGGTTTGATGGAGGAGAAACCATGAAATTTTTAAAAAAAATAAAATATAATCGTGATTCTTTTATAGAGTAGAATTTTCTAACTTTAGCTATGGATATATAAAGTCGTTTTTTATATCTACACCATATGAATATATAAAACTGGAGTGAGGTGAGAGGCCAAAGCTGTAACCCCTCTGCAGTTTGGGAACGATCGCGGTGCCCACGTCGTTGGCAAACAAGGGCTTTTTTGCTTCCTGATCCCCCCAAAAAAAAAAGCCTTAGAGAGTTATCTCCTGGCTTTTAGACCTCCAGCATCAAAGGAATGACCTGATTAATCCAAAGGCTCCTGTTTCCTCGTTTCCCCTTCCCAGTTATCACCCTGTGCTGCATCTTCAAGTGCCGGATCCCGCGCACCAAGAAGGAGATCGAGGCGCGCTACGCCCAGCGCCAGGCGGCCAAGAACTACGCCGACAAACTGGACACTGTGCCACCCCTCAACGAGCTCACCGAGATCCCCGGAGGTACCTGCCGTGCCCACCCCCTCCCCAGACCCGCCTCCTCCCCTGGGGTGGTTTCTGAGAATGTTGGGAAAGACCTCCAAGATCATCAAGTCCAGCTTTTGAGCGAACCCCACCTTTAAGCCATAGTTTGAAGCGCCACGTCCACCTGTTTTTTGGACACCTCCTCCCCTGGGGTTGGTTTCTGAGGAGGTCCTGCCTTGGTGGGGCTCACTGTGGGTGCCACCATTGAGATAAACCCTCCCCGTGTGAGGACAGATCCCTCCCAACATTAAGGTAAAACTTGTGGCATTAAGACAAGCCTAAACCTGCACTGAATGCAAAGGTCCTCCCTTGGGGTAAGTCCCCGTGGATCCTTGGGTGCTACCATTAAACCCCTCCTATCTGCAGATAAACCCCCTCCCAACATTTGTCTGCTGCATTTGTGGCAGCAGACACAGACATTTAGATAAAAAGGGACCTCTCCATTGGAGAGTCTTTGGAGAGTTCTTGGAAATCGTAAAAAGGTTGGAAAAGACCTCCAAGATCATCAAGTCCAGCTTTTGAGCGAATCCCACCTTTAAGCCGTAGTTTGAAGTGCCACGTCCACCTGTTTTTGGAACACTTCCAGGGATGGGAACTCCCCCACCTCCCTTGGCAGCCTGTTCCAGTGTTTAACCACTCTTCCAGGGAAGAATTTCTTCCCAATATCCAACCTGAACCCCCCCTGGTGCCACCCGAGGCTGTTTCCCTTTGTCCCACCTCGTGTTTCCCGGGAAAAGAGCCCAACCTCCTCCCTGCTAAAACCTCCTTCCAGGGAGCTGTGGAGTGTAACAAGGAATTCAGGTTTCAGTTTTCCAAGGGAGAGTCTGATTAATTTTAGGGCCCAGCTCTGGGGTTGGGGGATGTCAGCTGGAAAAAAAACAAGGAGTTGCTGGAGTTCCATGTTCCCCATCCGTGTTGGGATGAGCAGGAATGTTCCCGTCCGTGCTCTCTGTTGCTCTCACTCTCCTCTCCTGGTTCTGTGCCACAGGCTCTACTGAAACTCTCCTTCCTCTCTCTGGTCATGTCCAGCCCAGAGCTCTCAACTCTCTGCCTGTGCTGCAAGAAGAGGATGAGATGGCCCTGCAAGGAAATTAGGGATCTGCCTTCTCCTGCCTGTCTGTCTGTGGCTTCCCTTTTCCGCTGGGATCCGTCAGCTCTTGGATTCTGCTTCTCCTTTCTGCACTTTTCTCCGGTTTTATGAGCTTTTTTTTTCCTCTCTTTCCTGTGTCTCCGCAAAGCCTGTGACCTGCTGCTCCCTAAAAACTGCGAGTTTCCTTCGTTCCAAACGTGATGTTTCCATGGATCATGGAAAGAGGCAGGTGAAAGAACTGTAGAAGTTTAGTCCTACACCAGCAAAACGCAGAACTAAGAGTTTAACAACATGGAAAACTTGCACAAAGCTCGGGATTTCAGAGGTGTCCTGACCTCTGACCATAAACTGAGGATGGTCAGACCCCTCTCTGGAGCAGAACCCAACTGGCAGGGAGAACCCCTTGTCCACACACTTAAATTTAACCTACTCTAAAGTCCAAGGTCACCCCAAGGTGTGGTTGATTGAATCTTACCCTGTCTGAGCAATCCCACGTGGAAAATGCCCACATTTGGGGCAGGAAATCAAAGTATCCTTTGATTCACTGCCCAAAATGTCCCAGTTCTGCTCCTGTAAGGACCAGCTCCCAGCAGATCCCGGGGGATGTGAAGGAACATGCCTGGAGATGGGAGAAATCCAAATTCCCTCCTTTGCTGCCCCGTCCTCTTCCTGCTGTTACTTCTGGAAAACCGATAAATGAAGGGTGAGAACACCCAGAAGAGGCAGAAAGGGTATTTGAGCAGCAAATTGGCTGTTTCACCCCCAGAAATTTGGACCTCCTCTAAGCAGCCTTTCCATCCCACATGGACACATCCATGTGCTCCATCCAAGGGCTGGATATTGGGTGTGGGTTTAACGAGGCCACGGGGAATTATTACAGCAGGAGCTCCTGAAAAAATGAGCACGGGCAATCAATTTATTGGGCATTTATTGGGCATTTATTGGGCATGAGCTGCACCGTGGAACATCCCTGAAATCCCCTTTTATCCAGTTAAATGTTGGCCACGCTTTGGGAATTCCGGAATTGTGGTCCCGGCGCAGGGTATGAGGTTGATGGATAATATATTGCTGAGTGGCTGCTGCTGTTTGATAATAACTCATGGGGTTCCTGGTCCTCTTGGACTTGGCAGATCTAAATCTTCCCAAAATGCCCTGAAGGAACCGATCCTGGAATGGGAATCACCTTTCCATAAGTATTTTATCCATACCCATGCAGATAGATGTGGATAAGGTAGATGAGGGGTAAGAGTGCACCAGCACTATTTATCCAGACTTTATCCCCGTATCCCTGGTGGAAAATCAAAAGGATGGGATTCCTTTCACCCCAGGGGAGGTGCTGGAAGCGGGAGAGGGAAACTGGGCCTTAAAAATTCCCGCCTGGCTCCGACTTTGGAGGCACCAAAGGCCTCGCTCGGCCTTGTGTGATCAAACGCCCAAAAAACCATTTCCCTCCTTGATTCCAGCATTCCAATGGGAATTTTGCAGAGCTCTGGGCTTCTCTTTCCCTGGGAGCAGAGTGGGATGCTCTGCCAGGAGGCCCCACTGATTTTGGCAGCTCACCTTGATTTGTGAGCTCATTAAATCCGACGGATGGATTTGTCACCTCTCCCTAAAATCCCGCTGGGACGACCCCAGAGGGGTGACTGGAGCCACTGGAATTCCTGAGTGGCCATGGAATGCTTTCAGGTTTGCTGGGAGTGTCAAATGCCATCAACCACCAATATATCACACTGCTGAAATAATCTCCTTTCTTGGCATTATTTCCCCCCCACTTCACATTTGTTGGGAATATTGGAGGTGCCAACTGGCTCTCCATGCACTTTTTGGAGTGTCATATAGGGCAAGCCCTTTTACTGGGAATAATTTAAATGGGCTTTTAGGAGTTCAAGTGGATAAAACATGATATAAAATTGATTTGTCTGTGCTCTCCCTCCCAGCTTGGGGGAGAAGAACAAGCAGGACTTGGCCTTTGCTCTGTCCACGTCCTGGGAGATCTCCAGCTATTCCACCCTGAGGTTGCTCCAGCTGATATTTTGGGAGTTCACCTGGTTTCTGTCACATTTATCCAGAAAGCAGAAAATGGGCTGGGTTGGTTCCTTTTTTTTTTTTTTTTTTTTTTCTCCTCCCCCTCTCCCTGTTTTTTTTATTTTTTAATAGGAGATGCCAGGATTTCCCCTGGGACTGTAAGGAAGGGTCTGTGTTTTTCTACTCCCCTTTGGACAAACAAATTGCCAGTTCCCAAAGTTCAAAGGGTGACACTTCAAAATAAAGTCCGTATTAAAGGAATATTAATGTAAAAAAATCATGGAATTGCAGAATTATGGAATGGTTTGTGTTGGAAGGGACCTTAAAGATCATCCATTTCCAACCCCTGCCATGGGCAGAGACACCTTCCACCAGCCCAGGTTGCTCCAGCCTGGCCTTGGACACTTTTAGGGATCCAGAGGCAGCCACAGCTTCTCTGGGAAATCATTCCCATCCCTCCTCACCCTCCCAGCCAGGAAGTCCTTCCCAATATCCC